TCTTTCCAGCTGATTAACAATTTTGGTTGGCATTCAAAAAGATGAGAGATGGTATGTGGGAAAGTTTGCCAAAGAGGCTTTGATTAGGGTGAGTCTCCCGCCTTTCACATTTTTCAATTATAGGATCCCAAAAGCTTTGAGTCTTCAGGTTTCCTCCAAGGGGCATTCCAAGGTAATAGAAAGGGAGACTTTCAACTTTGCAGCCAAGAAATTCCTTGAAATTGTTTAGGGACTGGGTGCTTGCTATATTCAGCCCTACAATACTGCTCTTTGAAAAGTTAACGCGAAGCCCTAAAATCCATTCAAAACAGATTATGATCCTTTTTAACTTGACAACATTGTCTTTTTCGGCCTTTAAAAACATCATAATGTCATATGCAAATTGGAGGTGTGTCATCTGAATTGAATTTCTTCCAACTTCAAAACCTCGCACCAACCCTAGCAGATTTGTCTTCTTCACCAGTTCACTGAAATTTTCCATTATAAGAGTGAAAAGTAAGGGGGAAAGGGGGCATCCTTGCCTTAAACCCCTACTGGCCTTGAAGTAGCCTTTAGGTTGTCCGTTGATTAGAACTGAGAACCACGAGGATTTAACGCATCCCTCCATCCACTAAATCCATCTTCTTCCAAACCCCATTAGCCTTAGGGTTTCTAATAGACATTCCCAATCCACTTTGTTGTATGCTTTTTCCAAGTCTAGCTTCACTCTCACCCAACACTTCCTTTAATCTTCTAGCTAGCACCTTTGCTTGAATTTTGTAAACACTTCCCACTGAATTGATCGGTCTAAAACCTTTCACTTCAGGAGTGCCTTTCTTTTTTGGGATTAGACATATGAAGTTGGAGCTATTTCCCTCATTTACTATGGCCAAGTGGTAAAAATCTTTAAACACTTCTAGCTGATCTTGTTTTATGGTATTCCAGCAAATCTGATAGAAGAAGAGAGGGAATCCATCTGGCCCTGGTGCCCTGTCTCCATTCATATTGAAGGCTACTTCTAACACTTCTTGTTCTTGAAATTCCCTTTCTAACCAGATTTCACTTGTCTCTGAAATTTTTTAGCCTTCCCAAGAGCTTCGATGAGAACTTCTACTTTCAGTCTTTGAATAGGGATCTTTGAAAAAACTTACAAAGGCTTCAGAGATTTTTTCGGGATCCTCCATCTCTCTTTGCTTGATTTTTACTTTTGAGATGTGATTCCTTTTCTTCCTTCTAGAAGCATATATGTGAAAGAATCTGGAATTTTTATCTCCTTTTTTAGCCATTTGATTCTTGATCTTTGTCTCCAATACACTTCTCTGTGCCTTACCACCTTTTCCCATTCTTGCCTTAAAGTGGCTTCCTTCTTCCACTCTCCTCTAACTAGCCAGTTTGCTCCTTTTGGTCCAGGTCTTCTGGTTCTGATAACAAGAGAGATTTCTCTTCCTTTAAATCTTTAAATTCCTCTTTCCCCCATCTTTTTAGATTCCTCTTCACATACTTTAGCTTTTCCAGAAATCTGTAACTTGGCCAGCCTTCCACTTTGCATTCCTCCCGCCAGGTTGCCACCTTCTTGGAAAAATCTTTGTGCTCAGTCTAGAATCTTTCCAATTTGAAAGGGGCTTTTCCCGAAGCTTCAGATTTGCGGTAAGAGCAATTGGCCAATGGTCAGAGATGCATCGGGGCCTGATCTCTTGAAAGGGCAAAGGGTATACATCTTCCCATTCTGGGGAGATTAAAAATCTGTCTAGCCTGCACCTTAAAGCATTCTCCTGCATGTTGGACCAGGTGAAATTACCATTTCTTAAGGGAAGGTCATGCAGCTTGTGTCTAGAAATAAAATTGGAAAAGTTCCTCAATACTTCTGTTTACTCTTTTCCCATTTGAGTGCTCATAACTTAATCTAGTGACGTTGAAATCCCCACCCACAACCCAGGGGATGTCTGCCTATTCATGAAGGGAGTCCAACTCCTCCCAAAACTGGTTCCTCTTTAAGGGGGTGTTTGGACCATAAATTGCAGTTAGGATCCAAGTAAGATCTTCTTTCTTGTTTTTGAATAGGACTAAAATCGTGAAGTCACCTTTGTCTATTTCTACTCCGAATACTATGTCTTCTCTCCACATTATGATAGTCCCTCTTGTGGTGCCTGTGGTCGGAAGGGTTGCCCAATTTCTACCTCTTGTTCCCCAAATTGATTTTACCAATATCCTATGCACGGATTCTTTTCTTATTTCCTGCAAGAGGATTATGTCGGGATTCTCTCTTCTTAACGTGTCTTTCAATATGCTTCTCTTTACATCACCACCCAACCCCCTTACATTCTAGCTCAATATCTTCATTTGTTAACTCTAGCTGGCTTTCCCTTACTTAACTTCTACTCTCTTCCCCTTTGCTATCTGCATTCTGGCCCCTTATCCCCCATTGCAAACGCTTTAATTCCCTATTGATTCCCTTTCTTTTTCCTTGCTTTATGCCGATTACTTCCTTGGACTCACTAGCTTCCTTTGTTTTATTTCTTTCCAAGCTCACAATCCCACTAGTTCCACCACAGTGAATTCCTAGTTTCCTTGCCATCTCTAAGACTTCAGATACTTTTTGTTTCTCCTCTTCTTGGCTTGTTGTAGCTTTGGTCCCTGCTATGACCGACGAAATTTCCTTTGGACCCAAATTGTGATCATGAAATCTGGTATTGTCCAACGGTTGGGATTGTCGGTCGCCTGAACCTGAATCAGAAGTAAACAAATGGCTATAGTGAGATGAAGGAAAGCTACAATGAAGAAATGAACCAGAAGAATCAAGGTTTGAATAAGAGCAAGGAAAGCCAGGGTTTGAATGGGAGCAAGATCTGGATGAGGTTGTGTTCAAAGGGAAAGGTGAGTTTCTTCCTTGTCTGTCCTCAGGGCTTCTGTGAGTAACCAACTGAATCCCGTATTCTGGATCGACTAAATAGACTTCTTCCAACAAGTTGACGCACCCCCACTCCTTCCCCCTGTTCAGGAGAGCTTTGGCTTTGGATAGCGCCACTTCCTGTGGATCAACCTCTATCTCTACCTTGTAGGTACTCGAGACTTCATCTAATTCAAACTCTTCTACTTCTCCTGACTAGTTTGACAATGGGTACTCGACTATTGGTGACTAGAGCACTTCTTTCTGGCGAGATTTTGAGTTTAGAGGGGTTTCAAGGAAGTCCCGTCTAGTGTATGTGGGAGTCGGAGAGAGGCTATGCATGTGATTGTCTTGGTAAGTGCAAACTACTTGAGATGGTTGTGTTCGACTCGATGCACGGCTAGGATTCTTGGCCGGATCAAAATTATGCTGACATGGCTCGTCCGACCCGAAAGAGAACCCACTTTCTCTGAGCTGAGACTCCAAGCCGAGGCTCCTTTTGAAATTTGAATAGCCTTCCTAATCCGACTCTTTAACTTAAACTTTTCTGCTTCCTTTCTCTTTTTCTTTCCCGGAAGGGTAAAAGCCCGCCTATTCCTGACTCCGCCCATCCCTTCAGATCCCGCCACAGGTTTTCCTTCCTTTGCACATAACCGGCCTGCCCCATCTCCTGGTTGGCCAGGAGTTGTAGAACTCACACGATTTTGCATACCATTGCTCCACTATGACTCAACGAGTTTGGTATTTGACTCGGTTGTCTTCTCCACTACGACCAAAGTAAAAAAACAAACATTCCTATTGAGGATTGGTATTGAACGAGGAATAAAGTGTATTCCTCGATTTTTTACCTTCAGACGAGCCTCCCTCAAATCGGATAAGTTTTTTGTTTTTGGATCAATTTCTTCTAGTCCTCCACAGATACTTCCGATCAGCTCAAAAAGTTCATCCTTTCACAAGTGAAATGGGAGTCCATGAATGGTAATCCATCCATCAAAGAGTAAATATGAGGAAACTGCATTTATAGTTGGCCACCAATGGTTTAGGTTCACCCAACTTCAATAAATGTATAGACTCCCCAATCTAGCCCAAGCAAAAGCTAGGTCCTCAGAGGGAGTGAACCCCACAGCTCTGTTGCTAGAGAAAGGGTAAAGATGGATGAGGGTCGGAGAGTGAAGGTTTGCTGAGAGGCCGGGTTCACTTTAATTCCAACCTAGTTCATCGGTTCTGGTGCACACAAATGCATTTTTCCAAAAACCAAAAGGTTTCTTGAGTGGTGATAGAGATATGGGCCAAACCTCCAGACTTCACAACTCTGCTCCGTCCAATCGTTATTGACGGGAAAGTAGTTGTAGTTTCAGGGGCTGAAAGTCCAAGCTTAGGGATGAAAGAGTCTAGCACCTCGCAAAAAATCTTCCAACCTAACTTCTTTTCTTCTTCCGGGATGCAAATTGACCTTTGTTTTTTGTTGAGTTCCCGAACACTTAAACGGATGAATCTACCCCAATGATTTTCACTTTGTTGAATTAATAACACCTTCCCCCTGTGAGCGTGTTTACACTCTTTAACTATTCCCATTTGCATGGAGATTACCTCTCGGAGGAAATCTCTCACTCAGGTCATCTCCTCTACATTCAAGGATATTCTCATCCAACCACCCTTTCCTCTCTCTGTAAGCATTAGAAAATCATCTTGTTTGAAAGGTTTTGTGTCGAACTCAAAGGATTTTGAATTGATTCCTATTGACTTTCTCATCGTTGTAGTATTTAGGACTTGTCGCAGGTTCCGGAGTTGACAGTCTCTGACGATCACCAACAGGTTCTACATATTGGAAACCATGCAAGAATCCAATGGAGTTCTTCCATGTGCTCTCTCTGCCCCCTTGCTTTGTCAATGATAGCAGCTTGTGTAACAGAATCGGAAACCCAGGTATTGTTTGAACCAGACTTTTTTTTTTTCTCTTCTCCTCTTCTCTTCTCTTCTCTTCTCTTTCTCCTAACCTTTCTCCAGTATTTATTTCTATTCGTTATTTCGAACCTAAGAATATCACAGGTCTGAACTTTATCACCATCCAAGAAAATGTTAAAAGCAAAACCACAAAATAACCATTCAAAAGATGGTTCAGTTGCATACATACCAAGCTCATGAAGGCTCACGTCCGGAGCAAGAAAAGAATTTTCTTTCATCTTGTTTGTATGAATTAGAAGAATTTGCAAACGACCCTTTTCATTAGGAAGGCTTATCTCAACTTGAACCTCCAATCGCCCTGGTCTACAAACCAAACAGTTAAAACAAAAAAAATTATAAGATGGATAAGATAATGGTAGATGCACTCAACATGCACGGTAGATCAATAGGTTCAATCCAGTTTGTGAAGCTGAAAAATTAACAGTTAGTGCAGTATTAAAATTGTTGTAAGAGATAAATAGTTTGGGCCAGGCCCATCTATTTTATGTATTGTTTTCTTATGTTGTATTTGTGGGTCTGGGCCTCTTATGTTAAACCTAAGTATACAAGGTAATGTGGGCTGGACAGCAAGGACAATAAGCTGCTTCCACTTTCTTCTTCATACCTCTTCTTCTCCTCTCATCTCTTTCTTCAAGCTCTGAATACAAACATTGTATGAGAGCATTGATCCAGAAAAATGGGGTTATTTCAGTGAAATCACGCCAAATATGACCGATATTGTGAGACATGGAACTGGTTGGTGGGAAGGAAGAAGCTTTTCTAGGGTTCTTCCAGAAGTGTTTATCCAAAGAGACCCTAAGCAATTTGTGGCATGCCATTTTAAGGCAAGATTTGGCCTCAACAGTCAACTCTCTTAACATATATGTTTGGAACAGATCTAGACCTTGAATATGGAAAGAACTTGGTGTTTTTTCATTCTCTTCTTGAGCACAACTACTGTATTGGAAAGAAGACATCTTCTTGTTGAAGGTTATGGTTTTTTTGGGGTTACCTAGCATTCATTTTGTGACTGCCTGTAACCAGAGAAGACAGCCTCGGTTTCTGTTTCAAGGTGGGTTCTGCACAGGTTTAGTCCACCTGAATCTTGTTTTATTGGTGATAGGATGTCCACAACTGGGTTCTGCACCTTTGTTGGTAGGAAGCTAGTAACATGGAGGAATAAAAAGCAAACTGTTGTGGCTTCAAATTATGATGAAGGAACTGGGTGTTGAAGTTGCTGGATCTCTCAAGCTCTATTGTGACAATCAAGCAGCAATTGGCAGACACTTCTATTTGGGAAAGGATCATCTATGGTGACCTGTGTATTCCTTGCATGCCCTCTAGAAGACAACACATAGATGTGTTTACTTAAGGGTTGTCAAAAGATAGGTCCATGAATTGTTGGGCAAGTTGAACATGATAAATATCTATGCTCAACTTGAGGGGCAGTGTTGGGCCGGGTCTATCTATTTTACATATGGTCTTCTTATGTTGTATTTTGTGGGCTAGGGCCTCTTATGTTAAGATTTCTATTTGTTATTTTTTGTTCTACCGTCCTACTAAGGGCTTCCATGTAATTTTAAATTGTTTTAAACCTAAGTATATATGTTAATGTAGGCTGGACAGCAAAGACAACAAGCTGCCACCACTTTCTTCTTCAAACCTCTTTTTCTCCTCTCATCTCTTTCTTCAAGTTTTGAAACCAAATTATAACAGACACAAACATTTACACAACCATTTCCATAAACAACATTTGATAAGAAAAAGAAGCAATAGAGGTAAACAAGAGCTGTAAAAGAGTGGAGACAGGGGAAAGAACTAAGTAAACAAAAATGAAATGAAAAAAAAATTGCTTCCTGTTGACAGTTGTCTGGGATTTAATTTAATCTTTTATTGTTATTAGGCCCCAGCCCATAATGTTTTATTAGTGTTTCTAGCAGCAGCTGCCTTAGTAGAGGCATATTGGTCATCATGTGCATCTTACTCTTGTATAAATAGTAAAGTGATGGGGCAGCCACTTTTGGCACCTTTTCTTCTATCCTTCTCTTTTCTCTCTTCTCTTCTCACTTCATCTTTCTTTTCTCCTTGTTTTCTTTGAAGTTTTTTCTCTATATTTTGCATCAACAAGTTTCCAATTATTCCAAATGGAAAGCTGATAACTCTGCATTTTGATGCCTTAAGGGCATCAATTCAGGGGTATTTCAGGCCTTAGGATAGTCAAAGTGTACCATTTTCCTAGTTAAATTCAATGTTGTAACCTCTGAGGGTCTCTGTGCAAATGCTGGGGAAATTTGGGAAGGTTTCATGGCTGAATTGCTGTTTTTGGGAAGCTAATGTGAAGTCCAACTGAGAGAGGGGGTGCTTTTGTGAAAAAACTAAGAACAGGAGGGCGCTTCTTATCTGCTAAACCCAGAATGGCACCCCTCCTACTGTATTAGCATGCTCCCCTCTCCTTAGCAAACCCTAGGGCACCTTTTAACCCATTCTTTTCATCCTTAGCAAACCCTAGCCGCCCCTATCTGTTTAATCTCCACCCTCCACCTCTTCTAATCTCCACCATTCATTCTAGGGCACTCACTTTGTAGCTTTTAAACCCTAGGGCACCACCTAACTTCTAATCCTCACCATTCAGCCCCTAACCACTAGATCTCAACCCTCCATCCCAGTCTATCTCAGCCATCCACTCCTTTTAATCTCCACCTTTTAACCCAAGGTACCTCAATCTCCTCCATTCATTTCTGGGCGCCCAAATCTCAGCCCTACATAATGTTGGGCACCCTCTACTTTTCCTCTCAGCCCTAGGATCACCCTAGAACCATCCTAACCCTTCATTAAAAACCCTAGGGTGTCCATAACTTTGCTAAAACCTAGCTGCCACCCCCTTCTTTCTCTCTAATCCCAGTTGTGTCCACTCTTCTCTATAAAAAGGACCCATGGGCTCCTGAGAAGGGGTTGGATTCTGCTCCTAGGAAAGACGAAAGGCTGATCTTGAGAAGTTCAAGGGTAGAGGAAGAGGAGAGCGCTCAGGCAAGAGGCGGGGTTCCTGCTTGCAGTTCGCCAAAGCCACTACTTCCACCTCTGTAATCGGATCCCAACCAATAGTCTTAGATTTAATTTTTGTTCTTTTAATTCCAGTTTCGTTATTTCCTTTCTGCAATTTATTTTCATTCTGTTTGATCTTCGTTTTCTTTTTTGCAGATCTGGAATTCGGCCAAGTAAGACAGAAGGCCTAGCTTGAGAAGTTCGAGGGTCGAAGGACAGATCTAGAGACTGCTACCTTTGATCGGATTATGGATTTTTTTTTTTATTTTGTTTCCTTCATTTATTTATTTTTCTGCACTTTTAATTTCTGCAATGTTCGAATTCTATCTTTTTCAATTTAGTTAATTAATTTTTATATTTCTGCACTTCCCTCTTGTGTTCTCTTGTCCGGATTTGAGTACGTATTAATTTTTCCCTCGCTTCCCTGTGGATACGACCCATTCTCATCATTTTACTGCATTAGTAGTTGCTTGAGAATTGGAAAAAAATTATACATATTAAAATTGGTGTTCCGAAGTGGTTAACTATATGCTCCGGATCACACCAAGTTTTTGGTGTCGTTGCCGAGGAAGCAACAGAGAAATTTTTATTTTCTTTATCCAGATCTGTTTCTTTATTTTTTTGTTTTTGTTTTACTACTTGATCCATTATCTCATTTTAATTCTTACTTCTCTTTGATTTTGCAAGACGAAATAGTGAAAGGTGGGGTACTGGAGCATTGCGAGACTACGGGAGAGAAGAGAAGAGAAGAGAAATTGGATTGCGTTTCAGGTGTAGTCGTCCCATTTTATTTTTGATTTTTTGTTTTTATTTTCAAACTCTTTTTTTGGTAGAATAGTGATTTTTGAATTTTTAATTAATTTTTTTTAGATCTGATTTATTTTTTTAGTATTATTTTTCTTCCATTCTGTTTCTAGATCTATTTTTTCTTTATTTATTTTAATTTCTTGTTCGAATTTCTGTCTTATTAGGTTTGTGTTTTTCTTTTATTACAGAAAAAAAATAGAAAAACAAATTGTTTATTTTATTTTGTTTTATTTATTGCCGCATAATTTTCTTTTGTTTATTTTATTTTCGGTTTAACTTTTAGAATAGCAAGGGGAGCCTCCCACATCCCCACTTCTTACCTGGCTAACCAAAGGAAGTGGTGTAATTCCAAGTGAACCTAAGAGGATTCACATTGGTTGAACCACTAGTTTAGGAAACCTAGGTCAGCCCTAGGTCATGTGTATGAATTGCTTGCATTTTTTTTTTATTTTAAAAATTCAAATTTGAATTTAAATTTCAAGAATTTAAATTTCAAAATTTGAATTTGAATTTAAATATCAAATTTCAAAAAAAAAGAGAAAATTAAAAAAGTTAATTAAAAACAAAATAAAAAAAGTCAATGGCAAGAGTTTGTGGAATGAGAAACTACTTCCAACCTAAGCCATAGATAGATTGGAACCATGTGTTTTGACAACTGGACAAGATCAATGTGATAGCCCAAAGACTTGACCAAATCCTTGCATGTCGTCAACAATTTAGCCCATTCCCAACCTTGTCATCCTACCCAACATGTTCCATCTTTGCAAGCCTGGCCCATCATGTTAGTCAATGCCCTACGGCGGGCCCATGTCAACCAGTCATTCCAGAGCAAGTACATGTAGCTAACGGATTTCTCCAACACAATGTTAACCCATCCTTTAGTCCATATAACCCTAGGTGGGAAAATCAACCCAATTTCGCTTATTGGGCCCAAGCCCAAGAAACCACTTTGCCAGATGTGCACTCTCAATGGTCTAAAGCCAAGACTCACTATGAGTACAATGATTACCCTAGGACTCAACCGGCTCAACCATGCCAAACCTCCCCTCAGCCTTATTAAACCGATTCACTTGATGATAGGTTTTTACAGCTCCAACAGCTGATCTTAGTTCAGCAGTAGTCCATTGATAGATTAGAGAGCCAAGTAATTCAGCTCATGGAAGCTAACCCGCAGTGAGGAAATGATTCAATTCTTAGTCAGCCGGTTGTAGACCCCAGAAATGAATCCCTAGGTCTTCCCCAATACCAAGATCTTACAACCTCTAATGTCCCATACTTAGAAAATGCTGAAGAAATCTCAGATCTTCAAAGGGAGGGACAGTGTGAAGACCTGTATGAGTCTGGAAGTCCTTCTGCCTACCCAGAACAAGATTTTTGTACAATAAATGTAAATAGAAACCCCAGAGAAACTGAACCGGTCATAGCGGATGACCCGATGAAGGAAGCTAATGTTTTAGCAAAGTCTCCACACCCAT